TTGCCATTTGCAACTACGTGGATGGAACTGGAGGGGATTATGCTAAGTGAAATGAGTCAGAGAAAGACAAAAATCACATGCCTTCACTCATATGAGGACTTGAAGAGAAAAAACAGATGAACATAAGGGAAGGGAAACAAAAAGAATATAAAAACAGGGGTGGGGGACAAAACAGAAGAGACTCACAAATATGGAGGACAAACTGAGGGTTGCTGGAGGGGTTGTGGGAGGGGGGATGGGCTAAATGGGTCAGAGGCCCTAAGGAATCTACTCCTGAAATCATTGTTGCAAGATGCTAACTAATTTGGAGGTCAATTTTAAAAAATAAAAATAAATAAATAAAATAAAAATAATAAAATCTTAAAAAGAAAATGCCGTGCAAAGAGCAGTGGTGTCCCAAAGTCTATGATCGTCAGTCACATCTTACCGTACATCCTGCTTCCTTGCCAGCCAATGGCCAGGCTAAAGTGAACCCAGGACGCTCAATTCCTATGGCTTCCTCCCTCTAATTTTGGGAAATGCTTTCGGCTAAATACCTGTTTTTCAAGAAGAGAGATTTACTAAGCCAGCAGAGGACCATATACTGCCTGTTAGGATTTCGGAGCAGTGCCCACATCTTCTGGGCTCGAGAGCCTGGGAAGAAAGCAATTCCAGGATATTTCAGGATGTTACTTGGTATCTGCATGGCCCTTCTTGCCCAGACAACCCTTACCTAAGTCAATGGCCAAGTCCAAGTGACCCATTAAAAGCTTGGTGTAGCCCAGTTTATCAGCCACATATGACACGATTTCAATGCCCTCGCCTTTCAGGGGGAGGTTGAAGATCTGTTCCATGGCCATGATTTCATATTTGTACCACACGCCCTGGTAGCCGGCCAGCTGGTGGTGCAGTGAATAATCCAGGTAGGCCTTAATGATCTGAAATGGCAGAAGTGGAGAAGAGAGGTGACACCCAGATGGCACCCAAAGCAGGAAGCCCAGGGACACCACCCGGCGTGGGCCGGTACACGTGTGCTTACTAAGCTTGAGAACGGAGCCGGTCATTTGGCCAACGCACGGGCTTTGGTGCAGAAATTAAACTGGGTCTCTGTGCCCTTTTTATTGGGTCATCTGGGACAAGCTCGAGGGCTCCCTTGGCCCCAGGGTCCTTAAGCAAAATAGAAGAATTTCAATTTTTTTTTTTTTATTTTTTTTTTTTCAACGTTTATTTATTTTTGGGACAGAGAGAGACAGAGCATGAACGGGGGAGGGGCAGAGAGAGAGGGAGACACAGAATCGGAAACAGGCTCCAGGCTCCGAGCCATCAGCCCAGAGCCTGACGCGGGGCTCGAACTCCCGGACCGCGAGATCGTGACCTGGCTGAAGTCGGACGCTTAACCGACTGCGCCACCCAGGCGCCCCATAGAAGAATTTCAATTTTTGTGAAAAATAAAAGCCGTAGCTTATACATGTGGCTATAAGACTGCAAAGCAAAAAGCCTGGAAGGGTTCACTCTGAGGTGCACACAGTAGTTACCTATTTGGGGAGGAGATCTGAGGGACAGGAGGGACTTTCTTTTTGACGTTATACGTTTCTGTGACCTTTTAACTTGTGAGAACAGGTACCCGTCCTTCTGTTGTTTAACAAAAAAGAAAGGGGGGTTGGGTTTGTTTTTATGTAAAAAGAGGAAAGAGTAGTCGTAAACTGAGTTTTGAGACTCAGCAGAAGTGGGTTACTCTATAAACAACTCTTTTCAGTGGTAAAGTTGCACCAGGACATGAACGCCTAGGGACAGGTGAAAAGAAAGTTCCTGCTAAAGAAGCATCCCTGATTAGAAGCGCCAGGTACGGAGGGCAGTCAGTGGGGAGGCATTTAGGAAAAAGGGGCTTTGGGGGCACCTGGGTGGCGTTGTCAGTTAAGTGACGGACTCTTGATCTCGGCTCAGGTCATGGTCTCACGGTTCACGAGTTCAAGCCCCGCCTTGGGCTCTGGGCTGATGGCACGCAGCCTGCTTGGAATTCTTTGTCTCTCCTTCTCTCTGCCCTTTCCCCCCTTGCGCCCAGACTCTCTCTCTCTCTCTCAAAGTAAATAAACTTAAAAATAAATAGGAAAAAGGGACTTTTTCCTAGAATTCGTCAAACCCCACAAAATACGCGGTCCACAAATTCGGTGTTGCGGGCAGTTCTGTGGGCACCTGTTAAACCACAAGTCAACCTGTGGGAGTTCCTGTGCTCCTGATCCGTGTTTCAGATGGCGCCACCAGAAGGGCAGGGCAGCCGGAAGCCGTGGAGAGGAGAGGACTGCGGGGCGAAGGAGATGTCCAGCGCTGTGGCAGAGCCCAGGACTTCTTGGATTCGGACCAAGAGCATGGCGTCCGACTGCTTCATTTTGTCGGGAAGATAGAAAGCTTGGTGGTTATGTGGCTTGGCAGTGGTCACACCACAGATAGGTAAAGTTCTGGAAACCACTCTCTCGGGACTCATTCTAGCTCTTTCTGTTATCCGACACCGAGTGCCTCATCTGCTCTGGAGCACCCAGAGGCTGCTCTGCCCTCTGTCACGGCCACCTTGTTGGCACAGAGCCCAAGGTGGGGCTTGAACCCATGAACTGTGAGACCATGACCCGGGCTTGAACCCGTGAACTGTGAGTCCATGACCTGAGCTGAGATCAAGCCTCTTTCGATTCACTTTCCGATTTTGGCTTTTCCGCTGTCGTCTCCTGTCCTCCAATGCCACCGCGTGTTTAAGAGACAGCCCCCAAGTATGGAGGGGAATCAAAGCATTTCATTCAGTAAATATTTGTTGAGCACCTACGATGTGCCAGACACTATTACTGGGGCTCGGGATGTGGAAAAGACAACAGACAAGGTCCCTACTCTCACGGAGTTTATAGGCCAGTAGGGAACACAGGCTGCACACTAACAAAAGAACAAACAAGTAAATGCCAGATGGCAATAAGAGTTACTAAAACAGGTTAGAGTCCCTGGGTTAGGTGGTCAAGAAAGGCTTCATGGAGGAGGAAACCTTCCAGCTGATAAGCACAGAGACCGGGAAAGGTCGGGGGATGGGCGCTCAAGGCAGAGGAAATGTCCATTGCGAAGACCCTACAAGGGGATTGAACTTAATGTTTGAGGAGCCAAGAGAGTCTAACATGGCTGGGTGTAGTGGCCCGGGAAGCCACAAGACGAGGACGGCATATAGGCAGAGGACTATATTTGATGGGCTTTATACATATTTATGTGCCCTGGTCTACCGAAAGGCAGATTCTTGGCCAGGAACTTAAGCTCCTCCAACATTTACAGTGCTACTTGACCATTTCCTTTAATTCTCGATAATTAATCGCCACAAGAGGAAGTTCTTGCCCTGGAAGAAACCTCGACTTGATGTACTTTTTATGAGGGAACCAGGTCATTTTCATTAGCGGAATTGGATTTAGCTTAATAATGTCTTGATCTTGTCCCTTGGAGTTTTCCTTATCTAATGGAAGATGTCCCAGTTCCTGACCTCGTAGGAGCCGAGGGCAGGCTGCCCCCAGACGGGCCACTTTGGCACGGACATTATTTTGATTAAGAGCAATTGAGGGGCGCCTGGGTGGCTCAGTCGGTTAAGCGTCCGACTTCGGCTCAGGTCACGATCTCGCGGTCCGCGAGTTCGAGCCCCGCGTCGGGCTCTGGGCTGATGGCTCAGAGCCTGGAGCCTGCTTCCGATTCTGTGTCTCCCTCTCTCTCTGCCTCTCCCCCGTTCATGCTCTGTCTCTCTCTGTCTCAAAAATAAACGTTTAAAAAAAATTTTTTTTTTTTAAATAAAAAAAGAGCAATCGAAACCCAGCAGACTCAGGAAATGCTTTTTTTTTTTTAGGCTTAAACAAATTGTTTCATTTTTAAAATTGAAATATAATTAACATACGGCATTCTATTAGTTTCAAGGAAAAGCTCTTTATCTGCTCCCCAACTGCCTGCTTTACCGAACTTCACGTGTGTGTGGATTCCCTGTACATACACTATTGTATTTTATTTTCTCCCGTGAAACCGTCTCCTGGCAACTTGATTCTTAGTCCAGCTGGAAGGACCCTGAAGGGCAGAGGAAATTCCTCCTCCCGACAACTTAGACAGGCAGTTCTCCCAGTGTGGTCCTGGGATCCCCGGAGGTCCCTGGAGACCACTTTAGGGAGTGCCCGGAAGTCAAAGCCAATATTTGCGTCAGGAAACATGGTGAAAGACTGAAACAGACAAACAACAAACTTGGTGGGTGTCCCGTCTGGCTCACTCGTGAAGGTTATCTCTGCTTCTCACTGTCTTTGGGCTACTTTACAACTCTGTATGAGGCAGAAGAAAACTGATAATATTGTAAATTATTCTCTTGCATAGACATGTAAGTATTCCGGGGAATATGTGTGATTATTGCCCCGTGACTGGGCTATTTTTGCATCCAGTCATAATTGAATTCTCCTTAGAACAAGTTGTAACATCTTACTAGCTCTCAGTAATTAAAGTGTTTAATAGAGTCTTTGATATGTGTTCTTTTTATGTTTCTAAGAGTCATGATTTTATCTTTTAAAAAAAAATTATCTTTTAGGGGACACCTGGGTGGCTCAGTCAGTAAAGCGTCCAACTTTGGCTCGGGTCATGATCTCGCGGTTTGTGGGTTTGAGCCCTGCATGGGGCCCTCTCCTGTCAACGCAAAGCCTGCTTCAGATCCTCTGTCCCCTTCTCTCTGTCCCTCCCCTCCTCTCAAAAATAAAACTTTAAAAAATTATCCTTGGGGTGCCTGGGTGGCTCAGTGGGTTAAGCGTCCGACTTCAGCTCGGTTCATGATCTCACGGTTCACGGGTTCGAGCCCCGTGTCGGGCTCCGCGCTGACAGCTCAGAGCCTGGAACCTGCTTCAGATTCAGTGTCTCCCTCTCTCTCTGCCCCTCCCCCACTCGCACTCCCTCTCTCTGTCTCTTGAAAATAAATACATGTTAAAATAAATTTTTAAAAAATTATCCTTTAACCTTTTCCCTTTTTAACCCTCTTTCTCTACCGGCATATAGTGGCATTTTCCAGGGGCGACACCTGATGCTGGAACAGAGTGAAGGCAGGAGCAGGCTGAGCACCCAGGTGCCTCCCATGAAGCCAGAGGTTAAGATATTTGCAAAAATTTACTGCGTGCCACCCTTGTCACTAACTTTTTTTGTTGGGGAAAATTATCTTTCAATGGAAACATTACGGAGGTAAGAGCTTTATCCTTCTTTAAAAGTATTTTAGGGGCGCCTGGGTGGCGCAGTCGGTTAAGCGTCCGACTTCAGCCAGGTCACGATCTCGCGGTCCGTGGGTTCGACCCCCGCGTCAGGCTCTGGGCTGATGGCTCAGAGCCTGGAGCCTGTTTCCGATTCTGTGTCTCCCTCTCTCTCTGCCCCTCCCCCGTTCATGCTCTGTCTCTCTCTGTCCCAAAAATAAATAAACGTTGAAAAAAAAAAAATTAAAAAAAAAATAAATAAATAAATAAAAGTATTTTAGTACCTCCGTTTTCATTGCTCCCAATTTCGGTCGATGCAACCCGTAGACATAAACAGTTTCGCGGTCCCCGGTAATCGACTGAAAGCATCAAGTGACGCTGGGGCCCAAGTGCTTGAGAACTACCGGCCTGGGCGAAACACTCCAGCCGGGAAGGCCTTGCTTGGGTACACCCCCATGGTTTTGAATCCCTGCCGGCTTCCGCCAGGACCCTCCCAAGGGAGACACGGACATTGACAAAGCAGCCGCCACGAAGGCAGCCTTACCTGAAAATCGTCTTGGGTTTCCAGTGCGGTATTTACTTCCATCATAGCTGCCAGATGGCCGTAGTACTTGTAGTGAAAAAAGTAATTTAGGCTGTATATCTGCCACAGCAGGGAGAAGCAGGTGGTTTGCCTGTAAAGCTGCGCCAGCCTCCTCTTCCTGGAGACACACGAGGGGCACAGAATACCGTCACCGGCGTGCTTGAGGGGAACGCCGGCCCAGCACCCCCGCTGCGGGCTCGGGGGTCAAGACGTGGGCGTGAGTCCTTGCCCCCTTTGCAACGTGGTAAGGCACAAGCACGCTCAGTTTTAGGGAGCACGTTTTCTCCACCACAGAACGGGGAGCGCGATGCCTCCTTTGTGATGATTAGTGAGGGTAATCGAGGTAAGTCGCTTTATCCCCAGGCAGGGCATTGCCACTTCAGTGAAGTTATTGAAAAAGCCCACTTACATCACTCATCACGGTTGATTCCGATCACAACCCCGCGAGAAAGGCAGACGTGATGAGCCCCATTTTATGTCAGCAGGTGAGACTCAGGCAGCCTAAGTAACTAACTCAGAGCCACACGGCTAGAACGTGGTTGTGCCAGGACGCCAGCTCTGTCCGCTTCAGCCTGGCCATTCTCGTGTGTCATTTCCTCCACTGAACATTACTCTCGGGAGCTGGCTGTCAGCTCAACGAAGGAAATGAGCATTTTTTTAACGATCACACTCTGCCATGGTCTGAATACATCTCCACCAAATTCGCAGGTTGAATTCTAACCCCCCCAAAGTGACGGTGACAGTAGGTGGGCCCTTTGGGATGTAATTAGGTCATGCAGATGAGCCCTCATAAAAGGGGTCAGGGCTCTTATAAAAGAGACTCCAGAGCTTTCCAGCCCCTTCCCACCATCTGAAGCTAAAAGAAGTCGGCGACCCTGAAGAGAACCCTCTCCCAACCATGCCGGCACTCCGGCCTCAGACTTCAGCAATGGATTTATACTCTTTATAAGCCACCCAGTCGATGCTATTTTGTTACAACAGCCTGAGCAGACTAAGACACATTCCAACAGTGGAATGGAACGTCATGAGAGGTGGTGAGCCTCCCGTGCTGGAGGTATTCAAGGGGAGGATGGATGACGACCTACAAAGAATGTTTGGGTTCGCAGTCTTGGCTTCGACAAGCCACTTAACTGATAATGTAGCCAACGATCCCCTTTATTTATGATAACGATGGGAACCTGAGCCAGTTGGCTGCAATATTAGTGATTTAACAAAACCAAGAAAACGAAATGTAATTAGAAATATTTATCCGCAAGCAGATTTTAAATAAAGACGAGAAAGGGGGAAGACAGAGATATCCTGGAGGTTTTAAAAGACGAATTCCAGGTACTTTCAATTTAGACATTGATGACGCTGATTCTGGGGTGGAAATTATTTTTTAAAGCCTCGGAAGAAACATGGACAGCAGGGGACGTTCATGACGGCCCTGGAAACTCTGGCATTAACATTGCTTCTTGTCCTCCTTTTTGAGGTCAGAACCTCTGGGGGGGCGGGGTTTGAAACGAACATCTCTGCAGATGTTTCACTCCCCACCCCCCAACCCTTTCCCTCGTGCAGGTCACTTCCTGCTCCTTCCACGCAAGTGGCTGTAAACTAGGCTTGTGAAAGTTAGGGAACGAAAGGGTGGGATGCCCGGTTCCATTTGCAATTCAAAACACATAATTTGTTTAGACTGCAAACGTCCTGAACATTTTCCGTGACGGATGTACACGAGAAAAGTGATTCTTTGTCCGTCTGAACTTCAAATTTAACTAGGCATTCTGTCCCCCTACTCAGTTTATCCCCCCACCATCGTTATTTTTTTTATAGTTCTTTATAGGCAAAACTGACGTGCGTGGAAGTGTACAAATCTTAATGGTTTAATCTTGACTGATGGATACATCAGTCAACCCACATTGCAACCCCCCCCCGCCCCCCATTGCAACCCACATCCCTAACGGGATACACAGATGGGTGGCAGTTTGTCCTCTGCAGATGCCTTGGGCACCTGCTATTTTAGTTTTGGGCAGGGACAGTACCCAGGGCTGTACCTCCTGGATGGAAGAGGGCTTGTGACAGAGGCCCCGGGAGCTTGCAGCTTCCACAGAGGCACTGATGGGACCGAGTAGGGCAGGGCACTTGGCAAAGGGCTTCCTGGTGTTTCTGTCACTTGAATTCCCTTTCACAAAAGCTGCTGTGAAATATTCCAGGGCCACCCCGCCCTGTCCTGGGAGGCCCTCCCCCTACTGGCTCTGCCCGCACCAGTGAGCTAGGTCAGAGCCACCCGGCCTTCTGGCGCCCCCTAGAGGCCCAGGCATTGGACGCTGATGGAGTATGTGCAGGTCTCTCCCTCTGCGGAGTGAGACCTTCGGCTGTTCCCAGCTCCTTCCCTTACCCTGGAGGTGCGCTCTCTTGGGCCTGTTGATTTAGGTAGTAAAAGTGTCTGTTTTTCTCAACATGGGTCTGGAGAAACAGGGAGATTAAGTTGTAAGGAAAGATTCGGTGGAGAAGCTTCAGGGCCTTCCGCAGCATTTTCTTGGCAAGCACCATCTGGCCCATGTTGAAACAGACCTGCAGGGGACAAGGGGAGGGGGGCGGGGGGAGGAAGGAGAAAGAGCAGGGATCCTGGACTTCATCGGCAAGTTCCAACGACACGTATTTGGGGGATTCTCAACAAAAAGGCAAACTTAAGGCCCAGGAACAAAACCCGCCCTGGCAGAACCGTAAATGTTTACAAATGTATGCCTGGAAGGATGGCTGGCTGAGGGACCGGAGGTCTCATCGCGTCTTTGCTGTGCGTCATCGGCCGCCGAGAAAGTGTTCACCCGCCCCGGTCCGTTAAAAAAAGCATTTCGTAAAGACGTCAACCACAAGGTCAAGGGAGACCTTGCTGGCAAGCGAGGGCGCGGAGGGCTGAGAAGCGCGAGGACCGGCCGGGAGGTACAGGGCTGACCTGTGCCGCTTCTCCGCAGCGCCCCAGGGACGAAGAACACGTGCTCGTGTTTCCAGTGGCTTCTTACCTCGCCTTTGAGGCTGTGAAAGGTGGCGGACTCAAAAGTGTGACTCCAGGACTTGTCTTTCTTGAGCGTCCTCAGCAGCCTCTCCCCCTCATTCAAATAGATGTAGGCCTGCAGCCGGCACAGGAACACAGAGGGGCGGGTCGGCGGGGTGGCCGCAGGGGCCCACCGGCCAGCCTCTCCGGGCCCCTCTTTGTCCCCGGGCTCACTCACTCCGAGGGATGAATCTGGGCAGCTTCCTCCGCTGAGTAATTCCATGGCCCGATTTCCAACAATGTACCCACCCCCTACCCCCATGG